TTTTTTTAATCTATGAAAGAAGTCTCTTATGTTCACCAAGGCTGCATTTATTTGGTCAAAAATACAGTAAACAGTAATATTGTGTAATGTTTTGAAATAAAACATTAATGTCTACTGTATAGTGTATACTATGATACATCTGAACAGTTCTTCCAAAATGTATGCACAGGACACTATATGTCACAATGAAGTGCACTTGACTTTCCATTACCAACATGATGAGCCGTAATAATATCAAGCCCCTTTTACCATGTTGACTTGTTATTTGATCAGACTACTAAAAGCCAAGACATGCAAAATAGCCATACATTAGTACTTACTGAAATGTGACAATGCAGCATTCTAAGCTTATTGGTGCATAATGCATTCTGTTTTGCATACTACCTTTATATGCATAGTAAATACTTGGCAGTATGGCTAGTATTCTGTTCCGAACGTTACCATTGATGCATTATTATTATTATTATTATGCAGTTCCTCTCTTTGCCACTAGTGGGGCTGATTGAGCAATTAAATGAATGACTAACTTGTGATCAGTCCTCTGCATATATTATGTTTTTGGTTACTTATTATCACTAAATTGTATTAAGTTAAAACCATGAGCTGAATTCACCATATTTTTGAATACTAAATATGTTGTCATCATGTGAAATGTTATTTTTGGATTATTTTTCCTCCAAGATATTCTGCCAGACAAAACAAGTGTTAATGTTTTCAATTTCATGTTTCGTTTATTTGAGGAATGAGCACTCTGTCTGTATGTGTGTTGAGCAAATGTTAAGTGTGGTCTGATCTGTTGTAATTTGCAGATGTTAAAGGATCAGTTCTCCCCAAATCCTGTCATTTATTCACCGCCATTTCATTTAAATCCAAATTTTTATAGTAAAAAAAAAAGTAACCAACTCATATAATAGCTTTGTATGAGAAACATACTAAAATGTAATTCATAATTAAATTATGAATAAAATTATATTGAACAAAAAATTATATTGATGGTGAGTAAATCATTTTTGTAGTCTTTTGGAAAACAATTCATTTTTAGGAGCCAAAAAGTAACAAAAAACACAGTACTTTGCACTAGATTGCATAGAAATGTTAAATGTATTATTTGTTTGAATGAGTAGAAGGGGTCACCTTCAAAATGCTGAACTTTTACCAACAATATTTCATTCTATAGCATGTATGTAAAGCAGTTTTGTACTATATTGCTTTTAACCAGCTGTATGCAGATTCGTCACTGATTACAGTTATACTACCTGCAGCTTAAAACTTTGCACAGTATGTGTTACATTGAGACTTCTGAAGGGGATTAAAGTACTGTTGTTTAAATCCATCCCAAAATTCCAAGTTGTCTTTCTTGATGTACACTGATCTGAAGTTAGGAGTTGTAAGTTTGAGCGTGTTTGAACGTCTCACCAGCAGGGGGCAGCAGTTCAATAATATTCATTTACTAGATTACTACCGCTTCAACGTGAATCTGCTGCTGTAAAACGTTTTTTTTGTTTAGTTGTTGTTTTTACCTTGAAATATCAGTTTAAAAACGATATTGATGGTACTCTGACCTTTAATAACTAATAAAAACGAATGGCTTCTTTTTCTTTCCCACACACACCACATACAGGTACGTCTGTTCTTTATTTACGACAGTGAATTCCACACACTTAACTAACGTTAGAGGGCTCCAAAGTCGCAAAAACACAAAACTGAGTTGCTATTAGTTGCTAAGTATTATGTGGTGAGCGTTTATGTGGTTAACATTTGCTTTAAAATAGCTTTAAATGTTGGCTTATATCTGCTGCCTTCTTGACTAAACAGGTGTTGTGAAGCTCTGTAGGCCAGACTCACCATTGTGAGCTGATATTTATATCATAACTCAAATGTAAACCTTGAATAAAATCTGTATACAGACTGAAACAGACATGCACTCCTTTTCAAGAGGTGGCGATATGCTTTTTGAGCTGGATAAAACACAAAGCTTAATCTGGAGCGAGGAAGAGGATCACGGTCTTTAAGCCCATCAGGTCTCAACAGGCGTCCGTGAATGTGGTGGGTCCTTGAAGTCTGCTTAAATCACAATCAAGTGTAAGAAGCTACATTTTTCAAATGTAAGTACTCCTCGAAAAATCATGGCTTAATTTTTAACATACCTACGTTTAAATGACTAATCTTTTAACTAAAAATCAAGTCTGACAATTGTAAAGTTCTGAAATTGCAGTTTATACATAAATATAGCATGTAAAACCACATCAGATGTATGTATACATATATGTGCAGTTTTTATGTAATTCCATTGATTATCTCTGAATAAAAGTTATTTCAGACCTAATAGGATTAGGTTGCCAATTTTTTTTTTTTTTTTTTAAATCTACTCACCCTCAGGCCATCCAATATGTTGGCAAGTTTGATTCTTCATCTGAACAGATTTGGAGAATTTTAGCATTATATCACTTGCTCATCAATGGGTCTTCTTCAGTGAATGGGTGCTGTCAGAATGAGAGTCCAAACAGCTGATAAAAACATCACAATTATTCACACGTAATCCACACAACTCCAGTCCATCAATTAACATCTTGTGAAGTGAAAAGCCGCATGTAATAACTTAATTATTAAGACATTTTTAACTTTAAACCATTGTTTATGACTAAAATACTAGTCATCTATCCATAATATTGCTTTCTCAGGTGAAAGCAATGCTTGCAATGCTAAATCTCTCCAAATCTCTTCCAATGAAGAAACAAAGTCATCTACATCTTGGATGGCATGTGGTGGGGTGAGTACATTTTCAGCAAATTTAGATTTTTGGGTGAACTACTGTATTCCTTGAATCAGAAATCTATTGCCAGAAAATGTACAAGCTTTTTTTCAGTTTGTTCAAATAATAATATTCAAGTTAACAATGTTCTGTGTCATTAGCTAATTTTGCTGCCTCAGAAAATATAATCAGCATTGCTTTAATATAAATATGTAATATAATATAAGTATTTAATATAAGTATGTGTAGAAGGATGGCACAGGCCTGTTGTACAACCCTGCATTCATCAGGATATGGGCTTCTCATCAGCAAAGTGTGAAGCTGACGGGGAAACTTTGGGGCCAGTGTTGACACAGGAAGTGGTGTCTGTATGTGTATAATATATAGTCTGCCTTTATCAGACAACACAGCAGCTACTGACTTCTTCAGGAACGATGCAGCTCATCAGAGGCAAGTTTTCATGCATTGTTTCGTATTTCTGATCTTCAAACTATTGTGAAACTTTGACATTTAAACGTCGTTATTAAACTGGTATTTTTTCAGCAGATTATTTGCTGACAGTTTACATATCTTTTACTAAGTGTCTTGGAAGTGAATCATTTTTCCTTGAATATATTTTAAATTCACAACCATTCAGATGTTTGGAGTCAGTAAGTATTTTTTAAAGAATTTAACACATTACATTTATTAAAAGTGACCATCCATACAGACTTGTTATTAAAAATGTATTCATCAAAGTATCCTGAAAACAATGCATCGTGGCTCCTATTGAAATATTAAGCAGCACAACTGTTTTCAGCATTGATAATAATGAGAAATGTTTCTTGTTTTTAAATTGTAATAATATTTCTCAAGGAGTATTTAATGCAGCCTTGGTAAGCATAAGAGACGTCTTTCAAAAACAATAAAAAAAACGAACCTTACCAACCCCAAACACTTTTGAACAGTAGTGTATATTAAAATCGAACGTAGATATTGCTGATGCTGCTCAGTCATCTGTGCTTTGGATCTATAGCAAACATAACAGATTCTTGTGACACATACCACAAAATAATATATAACATAAAATAGCTCTACATGTAAGACAAGCATTTAATATGTTGCATTTTTGCCATAATTTGTTGCTTTAAAATTGTGCAGTTGAGTATTATCTGTAACAACATCTACACAACACATCAGGATGTGGCTTTTAATTTAGGTTTCCGCTGCTGGAACAACCACAGGCCTACTAACTTGCAAAAAAAAACAACTCTCACAAACTACTTTATTAACATTTTTCATATAATTCTCGATTCTATCAGTGTATCAAGTTATTAATAAGTATTTTTCTATTGTGTTTCAGCTTTTCCATTCCTTTGCCTGGTGATTTCAGTCGGTAAGTCCACTCGCAACCTGTTTAAATTGTCATTCAACAGTCTCTCAAGGAGAACATTGCATTTGTGACGCTGGTGTGTGGTACAAGCACACGGCTGCTAGATTAGAGAGCACTTGAGAAAGGACACATTTGAGAGGCAGAACAAGCTGAAACTAAAATAGTAAGCTTCGAGGGTAACAATAATAACACGGCACTGAAGTTTTCTCTCACTCATACGTCTCAGGTGCGCAGAGGAGTTACAGACTGACCTGCTATCTGGATGTTTTAACACACCGCACACGTGAGGGGCCGTGCTCTCACATCATCCTCCCCTTGACCTCCACTGATGACGACCTTTACCTCCAAAGCTTGTCGGAAGATGACAGTCTTACTATTAGAAAGATGAAGGAGAGGTCTGATGTTTGATCTTTTCTTGACTCATTATTTGACTGAATCTACTGTTAGTGTTTTTGTCAATACTTTAAATACAATTTTAGCATTTCTTTTTGTTGTGTGTTTTTGTAATGTTGTTTTAAAAGATGTCTATATATTTTATTAAGCTTTAATTTTTGTTATTTTAGTACTTCAACTTAAACTAAACGAAAATGAGAAATGTTGCCTTGGCAAATAGCTGAAATAAAATAAGTTAAGTTTTTATATTTTGTATATTTTTGTATATTTTTTTAATTACAGTTAATGGCTATTTTATTTCAATTCATAACATTATTTTTAATCATTTTAGTTTGAGCTTTAGTTTTAGTTAAGGATAATAACGCTGAACTGAACTGAACTGCTTAAATTCAGACATATTTAAAAAATAATGAATAAATGTATTATTATTATTGTAAATAGTATTACTTTACATGTGTGTGTGTGTGTGAGATCATAATACAGTATTTTAGTCTTTTACACACACTTTATTTAAAATAATATGTAAAAACATGTTCATAAAAATATGTAACTTTCTCCAGAAATCCAACTTTGAAGATTTTGCTTGGCTTGGAAGTCAAATCATCAAGGTACAAAAAAAAATCATATTTTTACCACTTTTTTTTTGTTTACATGTACTTATCAATGAAGAGAATATCTGAAAACTCATTAAAATATATACCATGAGAGTGTATTGACAGTATAGTGACACTATATTGACATTGCACATATTGGCACCACCTGACTAACTACATTTGCTGTTGTTTAGGTTGGAGCTGATGTCTGCTAATGAGGCCGGTGTTGAGACTTTTGTTCAAACGGTATTGACATACTTAAAGGACAAGAGTTTAGACGGTCTAGATGTGACTTGGCTGGATTGCCCTTCTTCTGAATCTAGCAGAACCATAGAGCTATTCACAAATTTTCTGAAGGTAAGGACTATTATTTGCAGGCTTTAATAAAAACAAAGTGTATTTTTATTACAAGCTTCCATTTTGTCTGTAGAGTCTAAAAGGCGCGTTTGAAGAAGAAACCCAGCCTCTACTTCTGTCAGTGTCTGTACTAGAGCCTGTTGACCACAGTGCAGTCACTTATAATGAGCGAACACTTTCACAGTGAGTCTCGTTCCTACGCACTATTCATATTGCACTTGCTGTGCTGTTATTTTATGTACTTAATAGTATCTTTCCTTTCAAAAGGTATGTGGACTTCATCTCCATTCTGCCTGCTCACCTCGAAAAGGACGGACCATACATTGTAAACGACTCAAATTTCTTACAGTTTGTTGAGACAGGCTTTTATTTGCTGGCTTTGAAATTCATTGAGTGCCTCAAGGATGACATATTTTTGGATGTTAGCATCACCCTGGTTCACTCATCAAAGAGCCAATAGAATTTTTCCACTGGCTTTTGGATTACTGCAGAAAATAAGCTCTGTGACCAACAAAAGTTTCTGATTCTTACATGCTTTGTTCATTATTGTAATCTTCACAAATGAACAGAACTTTTATGGATTTTGCAGCCCAAATACAATCACCAGAAGTAAAAAGCTAAATGTAGACTATAATACACCACGGTCACATGACTTCAACATCACCATCATTAAGCTTCAGACAATTCTTTTAGTATTTATTTAAAAGCATTTTTCCTGACAACACAAGCTGTGAAAGTGTACTAGTAAGTTAAGTTTGGTGTTCACACTGTTTGGTGTGATGTTTAATGTCCCGACAGCCTCTGTACTCCCATTTAGCAACTGCCTTTTTAAAGGCAAGTAAAAGCTGTGAAGAAATCACAAGTGGGTGGGCAATACTGTGTATTTTATGTAGTATAAAAAAATATCTTGAGTTTGTGTTCACCACAGACCTTATTTTAGGCATCTAACCAAAAAACCATTGACTTCAGGACGATGGAAACTGAAATGCTGAATGCTAAACTGCTAACTAATTTCCGGGTTTGGCCTACAAAATGCAGCCCACATAATGTGATTAGATTTAGTAGGATGTATTCCTTCGTCTTTTGATGGTCCAGGAATAACGCAACTTATAGCCCTAACACCATTAAAACTGCTTCCAAAGAGGATAAATGATTGGTCTGTAGAACTTTTGTAGCATCTATAATTCTTGAGATCTTCGTATGAATGTTATTCCAGAACCAGCAAGGATATAGACCCGTCATATTTGGGTAAATCATATTTATCTGTTAGCATGTTAGCATTCTGGGTTTACCTCATATTTCTTTTCCTTGACAGGACAAAACAGTCCAACACTGGCAGGACCAGCAAGTTGACCTGCAAAAGCTCAATCTAGCCATGCCTGCTTTTCTACGCCGGTCACGTCGACGGCATCACCACAGGGATCACCTCGAGCATGATGACATGAATACAGAGACAGGAAGGAAGGATCACATCCACGTTTTGGGCTTATACCTGGGCGATCAGGTAGGCTATAACCGCAGACAGTATTAGCTTAGCATTAATTATTAGCTTCCTCAGGGAGAGCTTAGGCGAAATTGTTTAATCATCTGAAACGCTTATCCTTTCAGGTGTGTCGGGCCATTAAAAGTGGACAAGAGCGGTTCATTACTTTAACAAGTCTCTCAAATGAGCAAAGTCTTGTAGCAGAGGTAAGTGAAGTGTAGTTTTAAAGCAGTAACATAATGTAGAAATGAAAACTACTAGATGGATAATCAGAAGATGATGTTGCATTTATTAATGTCCAGGTGCTCCAGAAAGGCTTTGGTGGCATAGGAGTTGTCTTCATAGATCTGGACGTCTTCTATAACTCCATGTGTGCAAACATTACTCAGGAAGAACGAGCGATGGTTGAATCAAAGGTGATTCTGCATTCACATCATGAACACAGACGTCATGAGCATGGTGGTCATCATCATAGGAGGATCCATCACCACAGCCGCCACCAGCATCATCACTCTCATCTTCGTTACGGCAGCCATGGTCACCGTCACCATGGACGCCATCAACATGGCCATCGTCACCATGGTCACCGTCATCACCATCAGCATCGTCCAATAATTCCTCAAAGCAACATAACCCTGGAAGAACGCCAGGGCATGGAGTGAACTTAATACATAATTTGCATATGATGAATGTTAATGAGAGACCTGCTTATAGAAATATATATATATATATATATATATATATATATACATCATTTTCCACACAAAATTCTCATTAACCTTAATATGCAGTATATCTATCTATCTATCTATTTGTATTTTATGTCTTTAATATTAAACAATTAATTTTCCACACAAAATTCTCATTACTTTAATATACTTTAATGTATTCAAATATTTGATTCCTATTTTGTCTTTGATTCCTATTGTCAAATCATAATATAATAATTGTGGTTGTAATGTTAAAAATGTTGGTAAATAGTAATTAGTTTACAATTTATTATTTTTTTGCATTACAGTAAATTACAGTAATGAGAATTAAATTTTTTGCATTATAGGGATGACAATGACATTGCAATATGGTAATGCGAATACAGTTTTTGTAATAGTGCAAAAAATAATATTTTGTTCTGCATTATAGTACTGAGAATTAGATTTTTTGCATTACAGTTATTTGACTAATTTTGTTTTGCACTATGCTAATGAGATTTTTTTTGCATTAAGTTTTCATGCTTTTACGAACTAATGTTTTTAATAATTGCTTATTGCAAAAAAAAAAAAAAAAAGCTTATTGTATATCAGAGCAGATCAATGCAGCATTATGAAATAAATATGTAGCATAAAAGTCTCAGTGATTTCACATTCTTCTCTTGAACAGAAATGCAAAGCTGTGAGAGATCAATTTAAGTGCTTGTGCATGTGGATGTTCCTCAGCATCTGTGTTCATTAAGCTCTAAGCTAATTGTATGACCAAAATTATGATTTCCCCAAAACGGGCCTGGATGAAGCACTCCACAGACTGAGCCTCTGGAGGGCGACTGGCTTCTCTGTTCAGGATGGCAGGTGTAGGCATAGCTGGCCCAATGGCGGCAAGGTCTGCTTTGCTTTATGCATGAGTAGATTTATGAGGCTATTACTTGGACGTCCTGGGCTATAACACACACACGCACCTGGTTCTTCAGCTGCCTGTGGCTCAGAAGAGCAGTGGCACAGTGGGTGTGCACAAGGATCCTGCTGTTTTAGACTTTAATTGGGAGCATTTGGAGATGCAGGTAAATTACAGGCTGTTGTCTCCTCGTGTGAGAACATGTTCCTTAATGTCAGCTCAGCATCACAAGCTGATGAGCGTCATTTAGTATCTTTAGAGAAGGATATATTTGTGTTGATGCGCATTGCACTCTTTTAGTGTGATATAGATGTACTTTAAGTAGATTTTAGTGGTAAATCTACACAATTTGAGTTTAAATTAGAATTTTTTAATATGAATGTTAAAAAAAAAAAATTTCAGTTCAGTTTTCTCCCATAAAAACTGATGTTAAATATTTAGCAGCATCTTAACATGACCACAACTCATAAAGAACATCTTAACTTTTCTTCTTTATTTTATTATTTTATTTTAATGAAGATGGTGTCAATATCAACTCTTATTGATATTTAAGTATTTACCACTAATCAGACAAAATCAATAGATTGAAGCATTAAATCATTTTAAAATAATTAATTTAAATGTAAATTTCCCATATTCAGTTTGTTGCAAAAAAAAGCACAATACTAATATTTGAACAGCCTCTTCTCTATACTTTGACCATTGCACTTTTCCTTTTTTTTTATTTTTATATATTTTTTTACAATTATTAACAAACTGGCAGCAAACAAACAAATAAATAAATATAAAAGGGAAAATTGTTCTTTTAAAATTATTTAATATTATTATATTAATTACATATTCAGCTTTTTGTGCACACTTTTTATGCCTTAAAAAAATAATAGCAAATAAATGCATATCAGCTAAAGGGGACAAGAGATTTTTAATTTCAAATATAAATATATTTAAATGTGCAAAACAATACACAGTATTGTCAAGCCATGTAATATTATTTCATAAACTGTTATAAATGATGCCTTTTATTTGGAGTTTCTTGACTATTTTACTTTTTTATGAGTGAAAAATAACATGTTTTTGAGAATAACCCTGCGATGCAGAATGCCTTTAAGATAGTTTAATGCCAATTATTCCCCTTCATTTCACTCATGTGCATGACATTTGACTCTAAAAGTCTTTTAAAAACTTACAAAATTATTAAAAATCCATGCGTGAGCCATATCCCACTTTGGGCAGCTATTAAATTAAAGTTCCTGCTAGGACACTGTGAAATAGAAGCGGGCAACAATTCCTGAACCATTTGTCCATTTTCTGATATACACAAGATAACTGTCATTTGGAGAGCGGTTTTGGTTAGTGACATTTAGATAAAGATACAGGCCCAATTTAATAGTGTCTTTGAGTGTCTAAAGTGTATAAATCTATAAAACTGGTACTCAAGGCTGAAAACAAACTAACAGCACTGAGATATGTTCCTCTGTCCTTTCATTAAAATGGAAATTCCAATTTGCAGCATCCTAACAATCAGCTGACCATTACAGCATAAATAAACCACTTCAATTTAGCCAGACTTAGATGACACACAGACATATCCAACAACCTATGGACAGTGATCAACTAGTGTGATTAATCTTACAGATCTTCTGCTGACACAGTCTATTGTTTGCCTTAATGAACAAGTTTACAGAATATGGTGCTATAAATCTCTGGCCAGCCGCTGGCCATTACAAACCGACTCTGGACATTCACTGTTGGCTAACATTATAATTTATGTTGTCCATTGTCTCACTCGGCTGGTCTGATTGCAAATAAATGTTCCATGAATGGTATTGGTAATTAATTTAGGCGTAAAATTGCAAAGCCTCTGCATTTGGCTAGAGGATGCTTAATTACTTAAAGTCCACTTGAGCAACTGGGCTATGCATCATGTAGTACACAGTTAATTCTGTTGTCTGTTTGCTCCAATGTGAGAAATGAAATTCTGTGAGAAAAAGGATTTATCTGTAGCGCTATAGGCACAATGAAGACGATGTAAGGGCAAAAGCCACCATCACTGGGTGTTTTGGTGCAGATGCTAAGGTGTTTAGCATGTTGTGTGTTTGCTAGGTCAAAAAATATTACTTCAGTGTAAGTCTGGGGGATTTTTCATCTATTTTATTGTCTACCAGGGGACAATTAAGGCTAATCACTCCCTAAAATCACACCACCCCTCATTAAGCTGCATGGTTTTCATCGTGTTTGTAGCACAAGTTTGGTTACAACAGGATCTCTTTAAACTAGGTCAGTCTACACAACAGCCGTCTTGAAAACACCACTATAATGTTTCTAGTCATGCAAGTACAGTTCCAGTCTAGTTGAATGGTGAAAATTTGATGTTCTATATACTCTACTGTTTTTGAAAGCATCTCTTATGCTCATAAAGACTATGTATTTGATCAAAAATACACTAGAAACTGTAATATTGAATTATAATTAGAAAGTTAAGTAAAAATGGGCATGTGATATAAAAGTCTTATGTAACATTATAACAGACTTTACCGTAATAAGTTATATAAAAAACATACCCCAAACTTTTGAACAGTATAGAGCTTATACTTCAAATTAGTAATAAAATTTAACACAAATAATAACATTAATAATAGTAATAATTTATTTTATTTTACTTTATTTGATGTTATTATTCTTTTTTATTATATTATTATATTATTTTTGTTCAAATCATTTCAAAATGTTTTTCAGGCTAGTTCAGCTCTAATATTCTCTAATTAATTTATTCAGTGTTAAAATTATAAGCAATAGTAATAGTGATATTTGATTTAGAATGCACTACTAACAAGGCTAAAATGTATTCATTTCAAAGTTTATTCCTAAAATTGTGAAATAAAATAAAATAAAATAAAATAAAAAAGTAATCATACTGACCCAAGCTTTTAAATAGTAGGGTATTTTTTCTGTTGCTCAAATCATCCAAAAAAAAAGAAGAAGAAGAAAAAGAAAAAAAAAAGGTTTTCAGGCTAGTCCAGCATCTCTAATATATTTATTTATTTGCTAAATTATGGAACAATAATAATAGTGATTTTTAGACTTTGATTGCACTGCTAATGAGGCTAAAAGTAGGTCAAAATTGAATAATTTCAGTTTACTACTAAAATGGCCGTATGTGAGAGTTACAACATACTTTGTTATTTTACACCCTTCATAACTACAGAGTTGTAATCCACTTACTCATAATGAATTCTCTGTGAAGTGCCATCTGCCGGATTATGCACAGTGTCTCTGCCTTGACCTCTGTGTAATCGTTCAACAATAACAAACCCTTTCAGCTTCTAAAAAACCACGGTAAGAGAAATCCCTCAGAAAATAACCCATCGTCAGAGAAAAAAGAGCTGGCTAAGAGCCTATGTGTCGTTTTTCTCAGTTGAGCTGAAATGATTGGCAGAATTGTTCATGAAATTCAGATGTTAGGGTTATCTTCTTCTAATTAAAGCAGACAGTGGACCGGGCTTTGTTCAGGAGCCGGACAGAAATTTAAACAGACTGTGCAAAGCTGTAAAGAGGCTCCCGAGGGATCTCATTATGAACTATATGAAGAGGTCAGTGCACACTCCGTCGCCTCCTTGCATGTTAATATCGTAACATGCTTGTATGTACATATAGGTGCTGAGTGGTTGATTATGTAGTTGGGTGATTTCCATTATTACACTGACTCCAAAAACAGGCCCCATGCTCATGACTGAATTTACTGGGGTAATCAGTGTTGTTAACTGTGTGTTTGTGTGAATAATAATGGAGTAGCTGTTTGAGGCTAACCACTGTGATTCTGCTTTGGCATACGTGCCTGTGTTCCCCATCAGCACGCTTATCTTACACATGCACACAAGCAGATATAGTGTCCACTTTTACTGTCAATCACAGCTTCATCTGATTGTATCGGTCTTCCTATATTTTGTGCTTGGCTGGATCCAATAGACTGCAGTGAGCAGTGGAGGAAATGCATGTGACCAGAGTGAGACATACAACTATTTGCTTTAGAAATGATTTCAGTTGCATGTGTGGTAATGATGGTGTATTCTGTCTTTCATAATCAGTACTGAACCTCATGTGGAAATCAAAATAAGTTCATTTTCTCCTTTAGACCTGATAATGAGGTAGGTGTTTGTGTGTGAATAGTGTTAAATGTGAATCAGCAGAGTATAAAATATTATTTTGCTAAATTTGTATTCTCCATAGTTTTATAAAAATGCAGTTCATTCCAAAAATGACTTTAATACCTTTTCTGTTTTCAATTTCTGATTTTGAAAAAATGTTATATTTAGTCGTGCTTGAAAGTAATGGTGTTATAAATAGTTTGATCTTTTTTTTTAATACTACAATTATATTATTTTTTCAACAACAAAATATTATTAATATATGAAACACTTTTGAAAAAAAGAAAAAGTTAACAAAAATTATATTTAAAAATATTAAATT